GCTTTTTGATGACTAACGTAGTGGACAAGTTAACATTTTAGTTAAAGACATCACATGATCTTTTTTCTGCGGATAATGCACGAAAAACGTACTGATTTTGTTGGAGATAATCTTATGCTTCCGTTTTTTTGCATTAAGAACGATTTTTGTGGAACTTGACGACGATCCAGCAGAATTCGGTGACAATTTGACCTTATTCTTTTGGGAGGACGGTGACACGGCAGTCAACGTTTTCCGAAGACCCGTTTGCTTAACAGTCTTACCCGGCGACGGTTCTAACGTCGATGTGGCAGCAATGACTTTCGATGCCTTCTTTCCTTCCCTCGGTCCCACAAAATTGGGATCCAATAAATGCCCGAATAGAGCTTTGACATCAATTCGAACGGAATCCTGACGACAGTCGCAAGATTTCGCGTTAATTCCGTGAGGAATCCAGTCTTCAAATGCAAAGTTGACGCTTTCGGCGCAGTTGAAACCCAAGTTGAATCCGGCGTGATATCCCCGTGGAAAGGTAATAATAAACTCACCCTCCCGCTGAATGGTATAATTAAATTGAATGGGCGCTCGGTCAAGCACTCGGGGTGATGCCAGAAACTCTTTGTGGCGCAGAAACTCGGAACAATTCTTGGAATCGCTACCGAACCAACCTGAATTATTGGTAGATTATTATTATATTGTTATTTGTGTGCAACGTTTTATTATCGATATGGTCATTCTTGGCGTCATGGTCTAACCGTTAATTTACTATGTCCGGAGGGAAGACGACAAAACGCTAAGGGCATTATGTGTTTTTCACTAGCTAACAACACACTTGGTAAATAATTGGTTCAAGGCATTTAGGACACTCTTTACATGATGAGACACAGAGGCATACCGTATAATTAAATTTGCAAAAAAAAAAACAAGGAAAAAAGCTGCGCCAACGACGATCATAGTGATGAAGATTTTTATACGCAGGGAGCAATGAGAGTTAGGTAAAAAGAACATAATACCTCTCATGTGCGATTCGAATTGGTCTGCCCTTTTAGGAGATATCGCATACCAGTGCTTTGGTGCCCCAAAATGGATGTAATTGATAGAGTAAAGATCCTTATCCTGTCGATCGTGAAACAATAATTCACAATAAATAAATTGGATTCGCAATTCTTTGCATAATAATAAATATATACACCTCGACGTGCCAAGGGAAACATGCTTTCCACATTCCAAAGTACAGGTATGCGTCATTCACCCCAGGAATCGGATCGATAGTATTCAACAGGTTATCAAGACTGTTGACGTTCCAAGACGACGTCCTTTTGGTAAATAGAGTTCCTAGTTGTGAAGAACGATAATATAAAGAAACACGTTTTGTTGGACGATTTTTTTTCGTTTTAAAAGTGCTAGAAATAGCGAAAGTAAAAAAACTTTACCTGCCATGTCTGCGCCATAGTAGGGATGGTTGTACATTATGGTTTTCCAATAATTAGCAGCAAGCTCGCTTATGTAATTATCATCATCATATGGTCGTTGATTGACCGAATGATAGTCGAACTTTTCGTATGCTTCTTCAATCTCCATGAGCATTGGATCGCTCGCCGATTCCGGAGATAATGAGGGAGGTCTATTCGCCGGTGCTATCACGCCCATCTGTTCGGACGTGAGAATAACTTCTTCCTCTTCGATTTCGCTTTCATCAGAACATTCTTGCGACGACAGATTGTTATCCTTATGCGAGTCACAGTCATTAATGCTAGGTTGTCCGTGTAGTGAACGATCAGGAAGAAAGATTTTGGTGGTTTCCTTGCTGGTAGATTCCGAAATGCGAGTTTTTGGTGCCTCCGGTGGAGTTGGCGTAATACCTGTATCATTTTTTCTCGGTGCGATCTTTGGAGCCGACAAACTGGAAGGTTGGTTACGTTTGACAATTATATTTTTTTTATTCGACTTTCCGGCGTGTTTTTTCTTTTTTCTTAAGGGCAAATAATCGGAGACCGATGAATTGGTGTAATGTTTTGATTTCGGGAATGGCGTTGCATGCTCTGGTCTTTCGCACAAGTCGGCCCATTCCTTGACCGTGAAGTCTCGTTCGCTCTCTATATTCCGTACGACATAATACCCCACTGTAGTATCACGTTGGACAATTTGTTTGCATGGATTTTTAATTATGATTTTACTCAATTGAGGGGAAAGATCTTTTGGGAGGGTTTCTCTCCTATTGAAGAGGAAGGAAAAGAATTTTTGAATTTTCCATTATCGACGATAGAACGAGCTAATTGAGAGCGGACTTGTGCATCTTGAACTCACCATTCTGTTGGAGGTATTATCTTGATAATTCCAGACTCGTAACCATATGATTTCACCGCCGAGACAAAAGTCCTGAAATCTTTGAATTGAGCCCACGTCGGTTTGAAGACTGGAACCCCGCCGTAAAAATGATCAGGATATATTTCCATTTCACCGGGTTATCTTGTAGGTATATGTGAAGGGGTCCACTACCAAGAGAAAGCCAAATACGTAAGCTAGAGATCCTTTTGTTTTTTGTTTACTTTTCCTATCTACCCACCGACGAGAAAATTTTTGACGTTACTCGCTAATTTTTTTTAATAATTATCAGTATACCCAATATTTATGAAAATAATTCATTGATGCACCAGCTATTCGTGTAACTTATGCAAGGTGACACTATCTACATATTAGTGAATGATGAGCACGTGGTTCACGTGATCAACTGATCGATTATGAGAAAAAAAATATCGTACGATTTACTGGTGAGTATGTAAACAAAAAAATTCGGTTTCCTACAAGTTAGATGTATTCTGATATTTATTAGATAAGTTAGTATTTTTAGGATTTGATGTAGATTCTCCTCGGTGTGCTTTAGTGGATTATCAATGAATGTTATTTTCAAAAAAAACGTATCAGGTGAATTCGTTCTCATTTTGAGCGTAAAATTCTATCCAGGTAATTACTGATTTAATGAGAGTTTTGATAGAAAAGTATTTAAAAACGATTTGAACACCTCAATGTTTAGATTAATTTAGTCGATCAACAAAAGAATATGGTAATCATCGGATAAGTACATCTCCATCACAGGATCCACTGACGATTTTGGTTCTCGTCAGTTAAATCCGGATGGAACATTAGTGACAGAAGTAGAGTGAAAATTTTGAGATGTGAACATTATCGTTCCACAACGTCAGGAAAGATTAACCAATTCTGCAATTTAATTAATTTTATCATATTAAATCCGTAAGATTATCGGTCGAGTTGTTTCCCGACGAAAAATTAATTGGAAATTGTTCGACGGATTAAATATAAGTATGGACCGTATTTTGCATTAGGGCCAGCATTACATATGGTATCTTGATTAACGAATGAAAACTTATATTTTTACTTTTAATTAACTAAATATGATAATAAACTTATAAATGCATTCTTAAATATATAAATCACATGGAAAAAAAACTTAATAAAACATATATAATTTAACCAAAGTATAAATCTATTTGTAAATTAACCGTTTTATTTAATTAATTATTTATTATTATATTTATTTATTTATTTACATCATTTATTATTTTAATTTATATACCAATCTTTAAAAATTAAATTTATTGAAAATAAAATACAGTATATTATAAAACAATTGTTTTTCAAAATTTATTATTATTATTATTATTATGACAAAATGCTTTTCAAATCTTATTTTTATTAATTGTTAATTGAATTTTACTAATATATATATTTTTGCAAATAAAAATATATATAATTTATGATAACGACAACAGTTAAATTATATATTTATAGATTATTGATTTTTGCTTATAGCAAATATATTTTAAAAATCTTATATATTAAAATTATATACTGTTATAAATTAAAAAATCACGAGTTTTTTATTTTATTTTATTATTTGAAAAATATTCAAATATTAATAATAGTTAATTCTTTTTTAATAAATAATTATTATTACTTAATTAATTGTAAAAATATAGTATATTACAAAAGTCTTTAAACTAATTTTTTTTAATATAACTTAATAAATAATTATTTGATTAATATAAAACTTTAAATATATATTTTTATAATATAATAATAAAAATATTCAAGTTTTATTAATAATTAAAAAATAAATTTATTATAGAATTTAAAATAAATAAAAAAATAAGTTAAAAAAATTTATTTTATTATTATTTTTTTTTATATTAATAAATATTAATTCTTTATTTTATATATATACTAATATATAACTATAAAAAAAAACCTATATCTCTTATAATAAATGAGTTAAATATCAGCTTACTAATGATCTATTTATCTAAACTATATTAGAAAAAAAAGTTTAAAACTAATATATTGTTTAGATAGTTATATAACAAGCTATGCAATTTATAAAAAATAAGAAAAAAGTAAAAGAAAAAAATTTAATATATATTAATATTAAACAAAACTTTTTATATTATAATTTTGACTTATATAATTATAAAAA